CCCCAAAGAAGGGCCACCTTGGAACATTGTCTTCTGGACTGCCCTATGGTGGCCCAATTGTGGAGTTGGTGGGACGCGACATGGCATTACCTCACATGAACACATATACCATGGGATATCAAAGCGATCCTGCTGGGGGAAAAAACACCACAAATGGCCCAATGGACGCCCTTCATGACCGACCTGTTCACCACTACTTTCCTACCAATGCTTATGGGAGGGTGGCGAATGAGGTGCGCACACGAACGCAAGTAGCACACATTTGGGTATATGGAAGCACGGGCATCAATCGCCGAAACAATCACGGTCAGTACACATGCGGCCTGGCAAGAGCTTCGAAACATTCTGACAAACGAAACCAGATGCAGTCAAACGTAATGACCTCTCACACTTCTTCCGCACGCTATGGGTGGATAACGAACAGAGGCTCTGTGAACTGGATCCGGACAACTATCTGCGATGGAACCCGATGGGAACGCCTGCCCCGGGACCACTTTCATATCCCCTTCCAACTGACCAATTTCATCCTGGTTCCAACATAGCAGTCTGCATTCTCAAATCTCATGGCCCCCCGCATCCCCTGCTCCAGTGATCCCAACGCCCCTGCCCCTAATGTGAGCGAGCCCCACTGCCACCAACCCCCCCCCCCCCCCCCTCTACTATTCAACCACTTTCTTCTCTCCCCCCCCTTCCACCCCGATGCTGATTGCCGGCCAAGCAAGGACTCCCTCCCTCTCAAGAAGTACCATGCATCAATTACGACCCCAGCGACAGAGGAGCAGCAAAGGGTAACAGCGGCAGCGTAAGGAAGGGGCATGGAGCATGAAGACCAGAGCCACACCTTCTCCAGTCGCAGGACACCTGGACAAAAAGGGACGTGACATGTACATACAGGAGTAAAGGGACGAACGATTTCAAATCGGGGAGCTTACAACAGTACCAGGACCTGTGGAGGTCAGATGGGGGTTGGGGTGCTGAGGGGGTGGGCACAGAAAGGCGCAGCACCCCCTCACGGGATTATGATTGCTGAGCGGACAGCACAACACAGCTACACACTGTGATACACTGGGACTTTGGGACAATAGGCTACAAGATACAGTGGTATGGGATTAATGGGAGGGTGGGCACAGGGGGGTCGTTGGGGCTGTGGCCTCACGCCCCACAGTTCTGAATAAAGAACACGAAAGACGTGAGATTAAGTCAGCAACAGCCCGGACTTACCGATACAGGGATACATGGAAACAGATGATACGAAAAAAGATAACACTCCCACAACCGGGAGACTGGGGGGGTGGGATTAGATGGTTTCTGGGACGGTGGGAACAGGTGGTGGTTAAGGCAGATCCACATAACCACGCTAACACCTTACTGCACACTGTCACAGCCCCGCACAAGAATGCAGCCCAAGTTATGGCAGGCAAAAGGTGGAATGACGGGACAACAGGGTTCAAGGTTTATGGATTTATGGGTGTAAGAGGTAAAGGGTTCAAAGAGACCTGCCATAACACTTGGGCTTATTGGCCACATAATTGCGCTGGATAGAATTAGCCCACTGACAAATTGACTGACATACATGCATGGTCCGTAGGAAACACAGTTAGGAACACAGTTAGGAACACTCTCAACCACATCTTATATAGCACACCGCGATATGAGGCAAGAAACACACGCAGGAACACCTTCAACAGACACAGACAGAATAGCATATGGCAACGTGAAGATAGATAGTCGATAAACAGCAAGTGAATGTCAACAGGTCAGGATGACAACATCATAAGCAATAGTTCACTGAATAATTCATCACAAAAGATCTGATAAAGCGCTGGGCCACTCACTGCCCAGCCCCTCATGCATACTGACAAACCATGCTTTCACTACCTTTGTTTCTCACCTTGTATTAAGGCAGAAATTTGTTTTGGTCTCGCTTTGGCAGGTCCCATGGACCAGGAAACTGTTATCTGATTTCTCCCTTTCCAATCTTATTAAGCTATTTAATACCATTAATATGTTTTCTGCCAACAAAACGAAAGGAAATTTGAAAAGGATTGTTGGACCAATGATCACTAGGAAAGTTGGGTTTCCTTGCGTCAGCCCTTTGGTAGTTAAATTGAGATTTGATGAGCGTATCAGCAAGGTGGTTGTGGCTCAGGCAACCTATGTGACACCCGTAGCCTAGGCCGCGGGCAAATCGGCCGCCGCGGCCGGGGCCAACGAGGCCAACTTCGCGGCCCCTTTTTTTGTTTTTTTTTGTTTTGGTCGAAAAATAAGTAAAAATAACATAAAAACATGTGGGGTTGTAGGGTTTGCAAAACCCTACAACCCCATAACGTTTTTTTTTCGAATTTGACTTGATTTACGATTTAAAAAAAAAATGAAAAACGAAACTTGGTTGAAAAGAAAGAAAGAAAGAAAGAAAGCAGAATTTTGTTTGTCCCATTTTTTTCATGGCTGATATGGAGTTGAGAGTCCTCCTAAAAGGAAAAGCAGGTATTTTCTTCTTCTTCTTCTTCTTCTTCTTCTTCTTCTTCTTCTTCTTCTTCTTCTTCTTCTTCCTTGCTGTTTTTTTTCCCTTCATCTTCTTCTTCTTTTTGTTCTTCTTTTTCTTCTTTGCTTCTTCATCTTCTTCTTCTGTTTGTTCTTCTTTTGGTTCTTTGTTGTTGTTGGTGTTGGTGTTGGTGTTGGTGTTGGTGTTTTTGTTGTTGTTGTTGTTGTTGTTGTTGTTGTTGTTGTTGTTGTTGTTGTTGTTGTTGTTGTTGTTGTTGTTGTTGTTGTTGTTGTTGGTGGTGGTGGTGGCATATCAGGTATGACAAGATATTGGAAGCCTGGAATGATGCACAGCAGCCTCCTGCAACCGATGCTCAAGCAGCCTTGCTCATCCTTCGGGCTCTCAAGTCTCATCGAGTGCATGATGTCCAGGTTCGTCATTTTCTTCACAATTTTAAAATGCAAAAGGAAGNGTTGTTGTTGTTGTTGTTGTTGTTGTTGTTGTTGTTGTTGTTGTTGTTGTTGTTGGTGGTGGTGGTGGTGGTGGTGGTGGTGTTGGTGGTGTTGGTGGTGTTGGTGTTGGTGGTGTTGGTGGTGTTGTTGGTGGTGGTGTTGGTGTTGGTGGTGGTGTTGGTGTTGGTGGTGGTGTTGCTGTTGGTGGTGTTGCTGTTGCTGTTGCTGCTGTTGCTGCTGTTGCTGCTGTTGCTGGTGTTGCCGTTGCTGTTGCCGTCGCTGCTGCCGCTGCTGCTGCTGCTGTTGCTGCTGCTGTTGCTGTTGCTGCTGCTGTTGCTGCTGCTGTTGCTTTAAGAGTCCTCCTAAAAGGAAAAGCACAACCACTCATTCTTCTGAGCGCGAAAAATCACTGAAATTGGAGTACTTCTGTTGGCCCACTCATGGCTGACTGGCAAAAATGGAAATTGTGCTGAATCGGTGCGGCGATTATTTCGTGGTCTTAGTGAAATTTCTAAATTTTTCTGATATTTTTCCTGGAGATAGCACGACCTATTCTACGGGTTCTCAAATTTTCAGACTTTTCTGTGAATTCTTCTGAACAAAAAAAAGTCTCCAAAGTTGCATCTTGCGAACACCATTTCGGAATCGCCCAGTTTCACCAAAGGGACCCCACCATGGCCTATCCCTCCGAGTGCCACTACGCATGGGACTTACGCGTGAGACCTGTCCTTTGAAATGCTTACCTACCGGCAGGGCCTCCTTAAGGGTGTGGATCCTCCGCTAGCGCTTGAAGGACCAGTCATACCAGAATTTGGACCTCTATATGCCCTCTTTAGCAGTGGTAGCCCGCCGCCATAATTCGGCCACCTTGACACAGACAGCGGACCCCACCATATCGCAGCCCTTAGGGCTGCAATTTTCAGAGGAATAAGAACAGGGGTTGAGAAGTGTGAGTCCTTCCTTTAAAGGAAGCAATGAATGCTGCCACTCAGGGTCCCTTGACCGTAACGAAGGGAAGAGTGAAGTGAGTGGATCTTTGCAAGGGACGCTGAACGCGGTTTCCAGCAAATACTCCAAAATACAGTTGCATTGAAATAATAATAATAGTAAAAGAAAATTTGCAAAGTACCCCTGAAAGTTCAACTATATGCTAACATACCCCTTAAAGATGTGGGTAGAGCAGAATACCCCTCTGACATTTCACAAGTTTGTGAAATGCCCTTTTTGACCTAAATCTTTGCAATCTATCCCTGTCAAGGGGTTGTGCAAGTTTGCATTCTGCCCATGACAGGGGTATAGCACCAACTTGGCAACCCACTGACAGGGGTATAATGCAACGATTTAGATCGAAAATGGCATTTAGGAAACTTGTGAAATGTCAGAGGGGTATTCTGCTCTACCCACATGTTTTAGGGGTACTTCAACATATATGTGAACTTAAATGATAATAATAGCAATCCGAAGTAGGAGAAACTACGTGGGCGTCACAAAAATGAGTTATCATTGCACTACGGGCCAAGATACAGTTTCAAATTGCAGTTTCGGGCAATGTATGCAACCCAGCTTTCTGGCCAGGTAGGGTGCCCGAAGTGCAATTGCAAACTGTATCTTGCCCCGTAGTGCAATTATAACTCGTTTTTGTGACTCTACTGAAGTTACCCCTATAATTACAGCAATAACAACAATACTTATGTGAGTGTATTGGATGATGTGGCTAGTGCTAGAAATTTGGCCTATTCAAAGGTAAGAGTTCAGAGAAAGATGCTAGCGCCGGGAAGGAGCTATCATCGTTGATGATGACCACAGCAGTATCATTGCTGACAAACACAGCAGCATCACAGGCAAAAATAAAGTCAAAGACTCAGACCCAAGCCCCACGGGGCTGTATACGTGTGCCTTGTACTGCCTACTAGCTCAACATTGTCTGCATTGATCAGAATTTGTGCTACCCTCTTCACCAGAAAAGAACGTATGGAAAATTTGCCTGCATTGGGAACAACTTTCAGTCTTAGATACAGCGATAATGACCATAAGTTACATTCGGGGGAAGACGGTAGTCCAACAGAGGGCAGGACCTCATAATGGGGACTGAAAGGTACCTACCTCCTAATCCTGCTTGCCAGCCGTGCATTCTGGATCTTGCTTGATGACCCTGCAGCTCCAGGTGCCTCCCGAGGGGATAATACAGATCCAGCCTTAGTTCGCGCTTCAGGGGATCCTGGGCTTGAGGGAGCCTTTTCGACAGTTCTGGATTCACTTTGTATTTGCTCTAGGCTCCTGGTATCCCTCTTGGTTGTTGCCCTGATAATAATCCTCGCTGGCCACTCGATACGCTGGCAGAAGAAACCTGAGCCATCGGATGATGAATGACCTAGACTGACAACTTCAAAATCTTTCTTTGACCGTGTTTGCGAGAGTGCTGCCAGGTTTGGGGGTAGATGCAAACCTGGCACTGCTGACCTCCTTGGATGATCTGATGTTGGGCTCTGCACCTCAGGTGCAGTTGCCGGTGTCCCCGACTGAACTTCAGGTGGCGGTGGCCGGATACTCTGCGACCTTTGCAACGTTGCTGATGAGTCTGCGGAAGGATCAGTTTGATGTTTCTTCAGTTCTGGCCGCAAATCCTGGTCCTCTTCTGCTGTTGAGATTGCTGTGACCGCTTGATTCTTAAGATGTGTGACTGCAGTAGCTGAGCGTGCCGTCGGAGGAGGTGCAGTCGGAGAGGGCGAAGCTGGAGGAGGAAGCGGTGCAGTTGGACGCTCCTTGGAGGGAGAAGAATCTTGATCTTCCAGGCCTTCTGGCTTCTCCTTAGCAGCTGCTTTGATGTCCAACTGTGATTTCTCTGAAGACCCAAGCTCCTGTCTGAGCAATTTAACGGCCATGATCTTTGACAATAATGTTGCAGCTCGCCTTTCTGCAGTTGACTTGAATGTCTCATCAAGATTAGCTTTCCACCTCTCCGCCTTGCCTGCCACTTCCGTTTCAGACGCCTTAGCACCAAGAAGGGGAACTGACACAATGTTTTGAGAGTACTTTATATAATCTCTTGCAATGTCTCTTGCAATGTCTCTTTTGCTCTTCTCATGCGACCGCACAGACCCTCGAACACTTTCTGACCCTCGCTGCTTTCCGCGCGACGAAATTGTGCTCCTACGTGATCCATCACGTGGAGTGACTCCATCATGGGTTGATTCCAACTTGTCCACGGGCTTTTTCAAACTGCTCTTCTTGACCTGCCTTGGCTGTGCCCACTTTGTTGGACTTTCCACTTGTGGAGCATTCTTCGATGGTGATGGTGATCCCCAGCCGGTCTCCTTTGGCGTTAATGCTATGGGCTCCTTGCTGCTCAAGTTCGATGATGGACCCGGATTTATGCTGCCACCGTCTCGGTTTGCAGATAGTACCATGACAGAATACCGCTTGAGAAGCGCAGAGGTGGCAATCCTGCCCGAGGAGATCTTTCCACCACTTCCTGATTGCAAGATTTCTTTTTTGCTGGGAGTGATTACATGTTGCTGGCGACTTTCATGCTCTGCAATCAGTGCTGCCAGACCTTTGGCATCAGATTTCTCGACATCCAAGCCGCTGTCTCGAAACACGCGTATAATTGAGGACCGAGCGGGGCCAAGAAAATCAGGCTTGGACAGCTTTCCGGTCCCAGAAATCACTGCCATCCTACTGGTTATTGGTGATTTCACCTTTGCCTTTCTGTTTGCGCCAAGTGTGCCTTCACTGCCCTCTGATCCCGCGACGCTTCCAACGCTTCCAACTTGGGAAGACGGGGAGTGGCCCGGACTGCGATCCGTATCTGTCTTCCTTGCAATCTTCAAACTCTTTTCCAGTATGCTCGCGCCAGTTGGGAACTGGGAGACAAGAGAACTGTGTCGTCGCATCGCATTCGTCAACTTTGCAAAGTCCTCATCGCTGAATTTGATGCTTAACTGTCGCCGCTTCATGATGTCTCTCACATTGTCAGCACGAGTCCCACTTGCTCCATTGGAGCTTGCATTTGGTGGAGAATGGACCCTTGCAGCCCTACCTGCAGAACCAGAGTGCGCAG